TACCGTTCCCTATTTGATCTCGGTTCCCTGTCGGTATCCCTCGGGCTTTAACTGCCAATCTATTTGGATGAACTGAACCCGAAGGGGCCCCCAGCTAGTCTTCCTCGACCCTGATCTTCGATTGGTAACGATTATGTACATCTACAAAGTCACGACTGGATATTCGATCAGATTTTGCTTCAAATGTCGTGACGCAATCGAACTCTGCTCGTTCAACCCTATGTAAAAGCTTGCACGGCCCAATCATCTAAGACTGGTGGTAATTCCATTCACTCCATTTGAAATCGGGATACGAACTCTCTTAGCATTTCATCGCCTTTCTGTCTTATCTTAAAAACGTCCGATTTCCTTGTTGCAACCTTTATAGCCCCGGCGTGTGCCTTCACGAAGGCGTCTGCTAACATAGCGAACGAATCGATGGAATTCGGTGGCAAGTTGTGATACCAAATCATTGCTCCTTTTGCCGAAGTTTCCCCAAATTTTTTCAATAAAATCGACTCGATCTGGTCGTCATTTAAGTCGTTTCCTTTAATACCGCATGTGTACGAGGTGATGTGTTCATTAGGATCGCTCGTCCCATTGTACTTAGGTATATCTGGCATACGAAACTTCTTGGGAATGGACTTCGGAGCCGCACTCGGAGGGAATGGCTTTTGTATGAACTTTTTGGCATCCAGACCCTTTAAGATCGGGGATGCCCCAGTATTTGATCAACACGGGAGTTATACATCTCCACTTTGTTGTCATTATCCTCAATCTTTTACTCCACCGACTCGATTCTTTTGGTGAGTTCCTCGAGCATCCTCATAATCGTGGGATCAGCCCCCGAGCCGTTACCGTTCGATCTTTCTGGTACCGGCTCAGTTCGGCGAGTAATTTCTGGTTCGACCACACTTGGGGTTTTTTGCTGACTTTGAAGCAAATCGATAGCAACCTGTTGAGCTTGTAGCATCTCGAGTATTACTTGGAGGCTAACTCCTCCATCTCCTATACCCTGTGTTACTTGGCCGCTAGATCAGACTTCCTTGCGTACACTACCTACGGGGTCTGCGCCTAAGTCCGCATTCAAAGCAATGTGTGAACTGACGTCGACTGGTTCTACTATCGGCACTTCCCCAGGGTTAAGAGGTGGTACACCGGCTCCCGGAGTACCTCCATTGTTATTTTCCCCATGAAATCCAAGACTATCATCGCCATGTACGGGTTCATTTTGTGAGTTTGACATGTTTTAATCTGAGAACAAAAATTCTTGACAAGAACAAGTGTGAAAATAACGTGTGTTATCATAATCAGTACTGAAATAATCACTATTATCTTTAGCCCCACGGTGGGCGCCAAACTGTTTACTCTAAAATCCGAGTAACAATTAAACTTGTTTTGTGTTTTAAAGATATGTGATTTAATCCAATACTAATTGATAAACTAGGAATCAAACATATAAGCTAAAGAAATAAGTTAAATCAAACCAATTGTGTAAGCAGACCTCGACCTCGAGCAAGGGCGGCCTCGAGGTTAGTGAATAAGAACAATAAGAACAATAAAATAATAAGATGATTCGGATGAACAACAAGAAAGCGAAAGTGTATATTCTTTTCTCAGTGATTGAATAATGCATTACAAATGATTGGTGTCCACTTTATATAGTAACGGAACCCTAAATAAGGTACATTTCCATTTTCAGCAAGGAATCTTATTGGGAAAGCTATCTAACCGCCTAGTACAAATCCGTACTAACTCGTACAAATCTATTCCGGAATTTACGCCAAGATCTTAGGACCATCGCGGGAATCTCGCTCTTTCTGTTATAAGACCATAACGGTATCATCCCGAGGTTGGTCGTACTCGGCCCCGGTGTTCATCGAGCATTCCGATCTTCGAGTATAATATTCTGTCATCGGGCTCGAGCCCGGCCCATATCGAGTTTGTTCCTCGATGCTACCCCTCGAGCCTACAAAATCGGGGACACATGATTTTACCGTATACAATATTGCCTAATTGGTTTAATGAATAATTGACTATTGTTACTTGAACAACTGCATCAAGACTCTGATAGAGGAATTATATAGCAAATCCAAGGGGAGGCTGAGTCCTCACATATATAATTCTCCATGGACGAGGATTATCTGTACATAAAGGCCAGTAGTTCACCAAATCTGGTATATACTGTTAGGTTAGTTAGTGTTTGATGGGAGTATTTAAAAGCACTTCTTTGTCTTATATAGTTTGAACATTTTAAAGGATATTTTGGAGGGAAATTGGAAATTTGACTATATTATTAATAGTCAAGTGCTTCGGCAATTGGGCTTTGGGCCTATTAAGTAGTCCGGAATTAATTTTAGTGTCCTATTATTTTATTAATTAAATTAAAACGTTTTTAAATTAAATTTCAGAAAAAGTTTTAATAGTTTTCTTTTAAATTCAAAAAAAGGTGACTATTGATTTTAAAAGGTGCCTGTTATGAGAAGATGAGTTTGTCAATTCCAACAGACTCCTAGAGGTATTATAAATACATATATCATCTCCAAAACGAAATCATCTGAAAATTTCCATCTTTTTCTCTTCTACTTATTTTCTACGACTCATAAATATTCTGTTCTTATGAGAAATTCGAGTTTATTGCTGAAACTCGAATTTCAGGGGCTTTGTAAAATACTGGAGAAATTTTGCTATTATCCCTGCAGTAACGAAGTGGGAAGCTTAAATTCCTTAAGGACAATAATTATACTATCGAAGCCTGATTATTTCATCCAATTAATTTTCCAACATATACTCGTAGCACTTATTATTGTATTATTCGTCATAACTAGGTTCCAAGCAAATCCTTAAATCCACGATCATTTTGGTTTGTTCTTTAAAGGCGTAGGCGGCGCAAAATATTTCTAAGTATTTTCTTGATCTCAATCATTAGGTCTGTCACTGAGTTCTAACATAGCTTTACATTACACAAAAAAGGAAAAACACTAATGCAGTTCCAATGATGGCAGAATTTACTTTACTCAAACTAAAGACATAATAAGTGCATTGGCCTTATAATTTTAAGATTTCACTTAGTGGGGACGTACTATGAATGGTCCTCAGGTTGTGACGGGGCCTAGTGTTGCTCTCTTATATATTGAGTTAGAAAGTAAAGGCCCAACCCCACAACTCTATATTGGACCTTTTTCTGAAAAAGAAAAAAAAAAGAATAAAAAGAAACTCCCATAAAATAGCTAGTTAGATGCATTACGCATTATTAGCGTAGCTTGAGAGAATTTCTTTGTATTTTTTTTTCCAGCATCATAAACCACTTGAGATGGCTTAGTGGAATACTTTTGAATGAAAATATCTGTATTCGCTTTTTTATCTTCTTTGCTTGTTGAAGAGGACAGCTGAAAACACCATCTGTGTTTATAGTTAACTGATGCATCACTTATCTCTATTTGACATTCGGCACTCTCTGCTAAAACCAATAAAAAAGAGAGCCTTAATTATTCTTATTAAAAATGGACAGGTTATATTCTTGTGCTTTAGATAGATGTGATTCATCAATCCTAATTAGACAAAGAATGTAGCTAGTGCCCACTGACACGGTAGTTTACGAATTTGATGATTAGTTCAGTTTTTAATATTGATGATTTGTCGATGAAATATAAGACTTATATAGCTATTACTCTATGCATCATGACATTGGACATCGCACGCATCTTTTAAACAAGATTATGTTCTTTCACGAAATTGTGTTACGGTAACTTGTCATAAAACAGACGTCTTGGAACTTCTTCATTTATAAAGACATGACTGTTTATGAACGGATTCCATTGTTAGATCTTAACTAGTAGGACCAACGACGACCATTAATGACATGTCATAATATGTATTGTAGCTAGATGAGTTGTCGAATAAATAACGAGTGAATCACAAAAAACACAGAAAAGAGAAGGGATTTTTATACAAATATATAGCTGATCAGATTCATTGATTACTTTTTCTAGCCGCTATATATAGATTATACGTTGATTATATACATATTATACATGAAATACACATATATTATATATTCACCGGCTATTTTAGATTAAACCATAGGTTGGCGGTTATTTGAATTAATTCTAGTGGATTTTCTTCGGTATTACTAACTAATAATTAAATCTATACTATATTAAAAGCACGAGACCCTTAGCGAAATATCATTCGCCTTTTCTACCCTTAAAAAATAAATTACAAAATAATTATTTATGTTATAAAACAATAAATGAAGAAGAAGAGTATTGCAGAGAAAAGTAGCGAAAGAGAGTTCTTATTGATATGGGATGAATTACAATGGAATAGAACCCTCTATTTAAAGGGAGAGGATGATTTAGCCACCAAGCAATGAACCCTAGAATCACTACAACATTATACATATACAGCTACAAACTACGTCGTAGCTAAATATGAAAATTTCCGTGGCTAAACACTTTAGCCACAATAATTTTTTCCGTAGCATCCGTAGCTAGAAGTAGCGTAGCTAAAAGTTAGCTACAAACTTTTATATTTCGCGGCTAAGGATTAGTACTTATTGCTATAATAATTTTATGATGTAGCTATATTAATAAAATATTTTGCCATGTAAAATATATACTTATAGCAAATAATTTTATTCTTTCGCCACGATTAATCAATTTTGTAGCTATCTTCTATACTTTAGCCACAAAGGGATATTCTGTGGCAAAAGATGTTATTTATTTAGCCACAAAAATTCAAATATGTAGTTGTGCTCACATATTAGATTTGTATTATAGTATTTATATTTAGCTGGCAACTCATAATATCATAGCTATAAATCGTCAAAATATTCATAATTTGATTTATTATTATATTTTATCAGGTGACTAGATTTTTATATATTTTATTTTTATTTATAAAAATTTATTTATTAGAGATAATAAATGTTTCTATCCTATGTGTTGCTATTTTGGTTTTTTTACCTCATTAAATATTTTTATATTTTTCAAATATTCCATATCCATACATCATTGATCAAACCATATAACACACAATAATAAATTTTGAATATCACTTTACTATACAAATTTACATTAAAAAGTTTCAAAAATTAATTCTAAAATATACAATTATCTATCTAAAGTTCACTCGGTTATTCAACTCTAATCTACAAATTTTGAAGGGTTCCACATCAAAATAAAACTAAGCTCTAAGTATTTGATATGGAGATTGAAGATGTTGCCACCAGATTATCTTCTGCATTCAACGATAAAGTAATTTCACTCTTTGCATCAAAATTGATCTTTGATCTGCTTTCATTCAACGGATTAAAATGCACCCTGCAAATTCAAAAGAAACAAAAATTAGCACTAAAGAATGAGTGAACCATTAATACAAATATGCAAGTTTGATGTGTGAAAATACAAAATGAAAGTTCAAAGAGAGAAAAATTATGTCTAGATAATTCTATTACAAGAATTTTTAGCATATAACAAGAGGGAAAAATTCAAAGCAACAAGATAAAAAAACAAACCTGAATACTTTTCTATAAACTTTTGAAAGGATTTTCGTCTAATTTTTATTTGTAATGTCTTTTCGACGAACTATGGCTCCTCCCAATATTACATTATAATCTTGAAGGTTTCACTCAATACCTATCGCAATACTGCACAATATCTATCAAATTGTTATCATATAAATCCAAAATTTCAAATCAAGTGGGTGTATGGGATTGAAAAATTCTAAGATGTAAATGCATAAACATACCTGGAAATAGAGAAGGCGCCGGACTATCTAGCCAATAATTCCGTTGGTTTGCTCTATACATGTGAAGAGAGAAATTGTCGTTGAAGAAGAAAAAGGGAAAATGGAAGAAATGGGGAGGCGGCTGGGAAGGGAACGCAGGGGAGGCGACAGGCGGCTGGGAAGGGAAGCAGTGGAGGCGGCTGGGAAGGGGGTGACGCACAAAAGTGAGTTTGAAGGGTTTTTATTAGGTTGGGGATTTTGGTTTGGGCCAATTGGCCTTTATGTTTCTTTTCTTTTTCTTAATATATTATTTGCTCCCTTTTATTTCTTACTTAATATAAATATCATAAATGAGAGACATGTAAGTACTAACAAATATAAGTAAGTAAGAAAATTATCTAGGAAAATGCAAAAAATTAAATACATAATTTACACTAAGTAAAATACATGAAATAAAGATATTCTATAATATATTATATTCTTTACAATTTTTTTCATCCTATACGATATTGTTAGTTTTGTTATTTACTCTTGTTTCAATTATATTAACTTCTTCATTTTAGTGTTTAATTAGAGTATGATAGTTATTAAATTATTAAAATAGTATTAGACCATTAAATATACAACTTTTCTATTTATCTAACTTTAGTGTAATTAGATCAATGTACATAAATACAAATATATTGTCTAAATTTGATATTGCTTATTCACATCTAATGAAAATTAATTACATGTTTATTAAAATTGTACCGAAAATTATAAGTATAATTTATTTAATTCCTATACCAACCTATTAAAATATTAATTTTTTGAATTATTTTGAAGTAAAACTGTGATGACCCGACCCGTCATCTCATGTATTACAGCCTCGTTTCCCCCATTTACTGCTTCTTCATGTTTCATTATCAGCAACGAGTGAGTTATAGTTGAATTGAATTGGTTTGGATAGGAAATGAGACACTTAGTCTCTTTAAGGAATGCTTAAGTTGGAAAGGTCAACCGGACGTTGACTTATGAGTTAGAAGGCTCGGATGTGATTTTCGGTGATTCAGGTAGCTTCGGGGGATGATTTGTGACTTGGGAGTGCGATCGGAATTGATTTTGGAGGCCCGGTGTAGAATTAGGCTTGAATTGGCGAGGTTAGTGTTTTGGCGAATTCCGGTTGGTAGGTGAGATTTTGATCCGAGGGTCGGAATGGAATTCTGAGAGTTGATGTAGCTTCGATATGTGATTTGCGATGTGTGTGCAAAATTTCAGGTCATTCGGACGTCATTTGGTTGGGTTTTTGATCGAAAGTGCATTTCGGAAATTCTTGAAGAACTTAGGCTTGAATCCGATGTGAATTGATGATTTTAGTGTTGTTAGGTGTGTTTTGATGATTGGAGCAAGTTCGTATGATGTATTGGGATATGTTGGTGCTTTTGGTTGAGGTCCCGGGGGCCTCGGGGTGAATTCAAGTGATTAAACGAGAGTTTTTAAAGTTTGCTTCAGGTCTGTTGCTGCTGTCATCTGATATTTCCGCTTCTGCGGAAACGGACCGCAGAAGCGGTTCCGCAAAAGCGGTTGAGCGATCGCAGAAGCGGTCGTTGAGGGCTTGGCAATTTCCGCAGAAGCCAGAGGCAGCCCGCAAAAGCGGACATCGCAGGAGCGGTTTGCGACCGCAGAAGCAGTCCTGGGGATTTTAAGTTAGACCGCAGAAGCGGTTATTTTGACGCAGAAGCGGGAACCGCAGGTGCGGTATCCCAACCGCAGAAGCGGAGACCTGGCTGGGTTTAAGTGAACAGTGTTTTCACGATTTTGAAAGAGAAGAAACATTTTGGACTTCGGACTAAGGAGATTTTAGGCGATTTTTGAAGAGGGTTTCGAGTGCTATCACCAGGTATGGATTCTTGGACTTAGATTATGATATTATTGTGTATAAACATGGATTAACACTGAAAATCCAAGGAATTAAAGGGTAAAAATGGAGGTTAGGGCTTGAAACTTAAGAAAGTTAAACTAGGGATTTGAGTGGTCAAATGGACTCCGATTTTGGTGAATTTTATATGTATGGACTCGTGGCGAGACGAGGAATCCGGTGATGTGAATTTCGTAATTTTTCGAGAAGNCTATATATATTACTATATTTTATGTTATTTTGGAAAAATACAACTTTTATAGTTAAAATTAAATTTTCATAACTTGATATTGTTTGAGCAACCTTGCTAAATAGAAAAATTCATCCCTAATTTTATTTAGCAAAATATTATCATGAAATTCTTCTAGCTACAAGCGTTTTAGCGACAGATTAGCGACGACGTTCATAGCTAACTCCTATTTTTTTTTTTTTTTTGTAGTGAACTCTTATTTTTGTCATTGAAATAAAGTTATTCACTTATGAAATTTTGTACATATTGCGGTTAAAATATTATTATTGAAATGACAATCCTAACTGTACGANAATCGACTAAAACCTGCTTGATGCTATCGTGATTTGGGCTGATTGCCATGTTTGGGGCTTCGTGCCGATTATTTGAATCCTTTAGGGATTATTATTACTGTTTTTCATGACACTTAGCATGTTAAATGACTTCAGTCCTGAGTTAAACACAGTTTTGAAATGTGCAGTCATATTGCTAAAGTTTAAAGACTTAAATTGCATTTTCTGATGTTTTGGGTTAAAAGCTATTACTTGACATTGCCCGAGTGGCTCATTTGCATTGATCTGGACTGAATATGGATCGGGCTGCACGCCGCAGCGATACTATGATGATATTGCGCTTGGGCTGTAGGAGCCCCTCCGGAGTCTGAACCCCCACAGTGAGCGCGGGTACCCAAATGGATCGGGCTGCGCGCCGCAGAGGTCATGTGCATTGCATTGCATTCATGCATTGGTTCCTGTTTGTACTACGTGTCATGACATTCAGCACTCTCATATCATTGGCATCCATGCCACTTCTTGCACTGTTTACCAGATACCCTAGTGTTATTTGTTGATGGAGTGCTGTGCCCGAGGGGCTGACTTATGTGCGGACTTGCACTATCTGATTACGCATTCATTTGCTTGACTGTTGGAAAAGGATATTTTCAAAAGAGGTTTTTGAACTGAGCCAGATATTTTCTAAAGGATTTTTCACGGTTTTACTATTTTCTCAAAGGGTTGTACTGTCCAATATAGCATGATGGAGTGCTCTTACGTGATTTCTTGCCTCTCAGTTATTATTTACTCTTATTACTCACTGAGTTGGAAGAACTCACTTTACTCCCTGCACCTCGCGTGCAGTTGCAGGTATCGTTCACCCGGTAGCAGGTTATTAGTGGATTAAAGGTATTGTTATTGTAGCTGGGCAAGGTGACCGCCAGCGTTCGCGGTACCGGATGTTGTCTTTTGTTTTCCAGAAATTTTACTTGTATATAATTATTGGCCTGTAGTTGTGTTAAGGTTTCCTTAGATGCTCGTGACTTGTGACACCCCGGTCGGATAGTAATTAACAGTTTCTAATGCCATTAAGTTGTATCTTCTATTCATTTATGTTTAATAATTGTTAGTGAAAGGATTTGGGTTAGTTGGCTAGCCTTGTCTTCACGAGAGGCGCCATCACGACCGGGTATGGAAATTGGGTCGTGACAAGTTGGTATCAGAGCCTAGGTTACTAGGTCTCACGAGTCATGAGCAGGTTTAGTAGAGTCTCGCGGATCGGTACGGTGACGTCTGTATTTATCCTCGAGAGGCTGCGGAACCTTTAGGAAAACTTCCCACTCTTGGAATTATTATCGTGCGTACTTGATTCATCTTGAGATATAACTCTTGAAATTCCTTCCACACGTCTGTATGCGCACGTGAGCGCTCAGTATTATATGTGCCTTGATGGTTTGTGATTCCCCGATCGAGGGGCGAGATGTAATCTTTGTGAGTATGTTGGGCCAGTTTGGAGGACTTGAGGCCGGATCCTTGCCTATGGCTTGAGCACCGAGGTACTGATTGTGTGAGCAAGTGTTTTGAACTTATATGTTCAGTATTTCCCCTATTAGTCGGAATGGCGGTTTGGTATTCATGTGATGAGTATGTTAGTAATGCGAGATGTAATTATATGACTTGGTAGTGACGAAGAAGTCTGCAGGATAATAGATGAACTGTTAAGTGATTCGACTCCTATTGTGGATTGATGTGTAGCCCGAATTATGGGCGCGTGAAGAACATTGTCGTACCTCCTAGTTGGGAAGTGAAGTGCATTGCATGCGGTGGTATTAGTTCGGACTCAGGAAGACTAATGACTGAGTGACGTATATGATGGTGAAAGGTATGCTGAAGTACTAAATTGAGGCGAAGTAGGGGTCATCTCCTGCGGAGTGTTCTTGAGTGGTATGGTCCTTACGTGTATGTTAGAAGATCTCATGTGTAATTGAAGGGTATGTGTTGAAAATTAAAAATTCGGGTCGCTTAAGAGAGTGGACTCAGTTGATGTGGGGATAAATGCGAGGGTTGTAGAGGATTTCAATACTAGATGATCTGTGTTTTCACAAACTTGTAGATGATTTGAGTTTAATCTCACTATGACATTGTGGCATCATTAGAGTAAAAGTGTTATGAGTTGTTAAGTGTGTCTTGATATATGGCTTCGAGCCAAATTGGGGAGGTTGTTGTTGGTTAGCTGATTGCACGGTTATGTGCTATGTTGGTTACGTCTCGAGGTATGCTGGCGAATCAGTTCTAGTTGCAGAAATTGAGCCGAGGATGGGCGAGTGAAGCAAAAATTTCGACAAAGGTTATATTATGTTCCATAGGATATGAGAATTTCGGAATGTCTAGAGTTGTTGTTGGTAAAGAATGTTCGGTGTATAGAGCAGGAAATTGCTTGGTTGTATTGGGATGAGGGTCTCATTTTACGGTATCGGAGTGTAAATAAAGCACGAGTGGTTCTGTTCGTTAAATCAGGTAATTTGCAGATGAATAAGAGAGAATGACTCTCGAGAATGGTTTTAATGTGTTCAAGAATCTACATGTAGCACTCAGGTGTTTTAAGGTGGTGTATGTGACTAAAGGCAGTGTTTCCAATAGAAAATATCAAGACTTGTGGTATTTTTATGTTGATCATGGGATCCTATGTGTCGATACCTGGAAAGTAAAGGAAGCGAATTTAGATTCGCAGAAAGTTCTCAGAGTGAAGTATTCTGGAATGTAGTATTTCTGGGAAACAATTGAGAGAGTATTCAGTGGCCTATGGGTCTTAGACAGTGTGGTCTTATGTTCGAGTCTCGTGTGGTAAGCTTGGATTG